ATTTTTCTCTGAATTTTGGGATCTGCACCAAATTCTTCTCCGTTTCAGAGTTGACCAGTTTGTCGGCTTCTGCTTCTCAACCTGAACAACTTCAGCTCAGAGTATGAACCATGCAGATCGGTCACACTAAAGGCATAATATTAAATTATCAATGGGGTTTGGATCAGTTTTCTGACCTTGAAAAGGCAGAAAACACGATTTTCTGCCTTTTCATAATGAAAACGCAGCTACTGGTTCCCAGTTTGGGCTCCTGATCACCCAATATGACACACAAACCACTAAAAACATCAACACTGTCGACATAATCAAAGCCTTCTCATGCACTGTGTCAGAGTTTTCTCTCTGAATCTTTGTGAAACCTGATTATAACCATAAAGGCAGACTGTTGGTTTTCCCCGTGGAGGCCTGGCTTCGTGTTCCCAGCTGCGTTTGCTTGTTATCAAACGCAGAGCGAGACGCTTTGTGCATTATTTGAATATCTTCCCTTTTTTGTTCTGTTTCCATCAAACGCAGGAATCCAGAGTCACCTGAACCTGCTGAATAGTTCGGTGTCGGACATGAGGAACCTCAGCAGAAACAGAAGTAACCTCAGCCGTCAGACCATAAAAAGATGCTTTAATGATTGTTAGAGCTGCAGGAACAACATTTGGATAAGCAGGCAGATAACTGAGATGAAACATCTACTGATGCCGATCCGATAAAATGATGTGGTTTGACCACTGGAGCTGCAAACTTCTCCTATTTTAGAGGCGGATGTTTGAACAGATCAAAGTCTCTGCCTGTTAGATTACATTTCAAATGTTTCCCTGACAGAAACGCAGCTCCACCGTTTCTGCATCCAAAAACCATTTCACACGACTGTAATATTCAAATTCAATTTTCAGAAGCTGCATTCAGTTGCTTCCTTTGCTCACCATGAGAGGCTGAGCAGCTAAAGCCTTTCCTCCCACAATGCCATGCGACTCTACACACAAAACCACAGTTTTTCTCTTTGTTTAGCATTTTGTACATCTTGAAGATGGATGCTTCACGTTCGGCTGTCCAGGTGAGCTGAGGAAGGATCAGCTGCTGGATGTTGGCTCTGGTTTGTCAATCAGTCCAGTTTGGTTCTTATCAGATGAAGGATTCAAAGCCTGGAGGCAAAATCAAAGATTTTCAGTCTTGAGGATCGAAGCATTAAAGCCTGCATGGTTGCATCCATCTCTATGCTTTATCCTAATGTTGCATTTTTCACGTTCTGAATGACAGAAATTCAGTTTGACCAGGTTAGACTGACGAACTGCAGATTGACGTTAATCTGAGCTGCTGGTTCTCAGACTCACACTGGAGCTCATTAAATGCTCAGAGCAACTCCGGTGTTTCCTCTCCTTTAGTTACTTTTATTCTCCGTTTTGAATCCCTGGTTGCTCTCAGTGTTTTTCCCTTCTTGCCTCTTTGTGCTCCAACAGCTTTAGAGAAGCTTCTCATTGTCTCAGTAAGGCGGCGCTGAACGCGGCCACCGCTCTGATCCAGCAGCAGAAACCTCGTAGAAAAACTCGGCATTACAAGATAAAGTGAATAAAATCAGATATCAGTAATGGATAGTGAAGAATCTTGTTGCTGTGGATGTAATCTGTCGGGTCGGGTCGGGACCGCGCTCCGTTTGGCCGGATTGTTCCGTCTGTCTGGCTGTCAGCTCGGCTTCAGGAGGATTTTATCTCTGGTGTCAATCAATAGCTCTGCAGCGTTAAGCCACCGCTAGCTGCTCCTCTCCTCCGTGTCCCGCTCCATCCTCCTCTCCATCTGTCTGCCGGGTCCCTGGGGCCCCGGGGCCCCGGGGCCCGAGCCGGAGCCAGACACGGTCCAACATCAATCAATATCTCTGCGGCGCTGCGCGGCCGAGCCGAGGGTTTTATTTTCCTGAGAACGTTCCTGGAATGTTCTGAAGGAAAATGTTTTTAATAGACTGCTGGTTGTTTTCCATGTTTTAGCTCATTAACTACAAATTAAAGACACGTTTAGAAGATTAGAATCAGTCCTTACTCTGTTCTCAGCCTGGAATTGTTTTCTGATGAAATCAGTGGGAAAATAAAAACTGATCTGTTCTTAGAAACATGAAGTCCTCCAGTCACTCAGGCCAATAAACCATCTGTCTTTCTCTTAGAAAGACAGATCTCTTAGAAAGACATCTGTCTTTCTCTTAGAAAGACTGGACCCACTTCTGATCCAGTCAGATCAGAAGTGGTTCTGATGGTACCAGTGGGGTCCAAATGTAAACTGTAATTAACTCCTAAATGAACAGGATGTAAGGGTTCTGTCTTTACGTGCAAATTTTAATATTTTATTCTAAATTTGTTTAATTCTGCAGTATTTTACCTAAAACCGTCTCAGTGATGACAAGAGATTTGACTTTATAATGTAAAGCCTTGAAACTGGGCCTCTGTCTCTTTAAGAAGCTCCTGTTCTTTCTGAAGCTCCGCCTCCAGGAAGTCATCCCAACATGGCTCCTCTATTAACCCTTTAATGTTTTTACCAGTGTTGCTCTGAGCAGCAGCTCCACCAGGTTTTTGCCAATCGCTGCTGGCTAGTCTGAAGGAGCTGAGCAGGGAGGAGCTGCTCTGTGAGGCAGAAGCTCAGAGGAGGAGCTGCGCCTCGGAGGCGGGGCTAGATCCACCCAGGCATTTTACACAGCTGAATGGTTGCCATGGAGATGAAAGGATTTCTGAAACATGAATGAAAAATCAATGTTTTACATCACATAACATGATGTAAAACTCAAACAAATTGATTTTACACAATACTGCCCCTTTAATATCCACCCCACTGATTCAAAACTAAAATGTATTTTTTAATATTTGACTGTAAGGTGAATAAATGTGTAATTATAGTTACCAGTGTTCATGTTTCAGAGTTTTTTCCTGAATCTGAGCCACAGATAAAATCCATTCTGGAGATTTTTCTCTCATATTTACGCTTGCACCTGGAATCGTCTCTGAAATGCTTCTCAGAATCAGCATGAAGATTAAAGAACCCAAACTCCCTGACAGTCTGCAGCAGCTCTGAGCTGCTGCCCACGCGCCGCACACATGCAACACTCTGCAGCAAATTGCAGCAAGGATGCAGAAGTAGAGCTGCTCAGAAAAACGTCTGCTCAAATACTGTAGAACTGGTTGAAGCTTTCCCACCATGTTTAAAAGACTTCATGCTTAAAAACTTTAATCCAATTCAGCTCAGGGATCCATTCATCTACACGGAAATATTGACCAAATGACAAAAAAATACTGAATTATATTTAAATTTAGGACTCAAATGCCTGCAGTCGTGTCAAACTGCTGGTTTACTGTCAGTTTGATGAATTGAAAGTAAAAGTTTCTTTTGGTTTTTATTCTCAGCTTCGAGGTTTTTCTTCCAATTGTAAAAATTGACATGATCAAAAACTACAAAACATAAAAATGACAGTGGAGAGCGTGACACTGAAAAAAATTGTGACAAATTTTAATACTACACAAAAGATACAAGATGCAAACATTTCATGATTGAAATTTCACTTTTTATGTGAAATTAATGCAAAGTCCAAAGACTGATTAGTTTAAGGTGATCAGGTTAGAACACATTTATGCTCTACAACTCTGCTGGGGTTGCTAGGAGACGGGCAGAACTCTGCTGGGGTTGCTAGGTGACTGGCGGAACTCTGCTGGGGTTGCTAGGCGACAGGCTGTAACTGCTGATTTGTGATGTTACATTTTGGAGGTTTTTGAAATATTTAATTCTACAGAAAAAAAACATTGACTTATTTCCCAGAAACGGCTGGATGTTTTTAAATGTTTGGTCTGATATTAGAAGCTGCAGAAACTCACATTGAAGATCAAAAATGTGCAAAATGTGAATTTTGAATAACATGTCTGCTTTAAGATGATAATTTGCTCTCAGATGGTTCCTGCTCCTCATTACGTTTTGACCAAACTGAGATCCATCCCACTGCTACCAACTGCAGGTAAGATAATCATAGCTGCTCCACAGAACCCCAGTGATGTTGGAGTGAACTTCTCTTCAGTCATGTGACTTTAGCAGACAGACTGATTGCGTCTGGATGTTTTTTCCATCTAATCTTAGATTGAAAACTGGCAGTGGCCTTTAAAACGGATCAACATAATGAACACTGACGTCTTTATAAACAAAAAAGTAGCTTCAGCATCTCACAGCACAGATTCATCCATTTCTTACAGATTCACCCAAACTGCAGACTCAGATATTCTGTCTGCGCTGACCAACCGCCGGCTCTGAACCGTCCCGTCACCGGCGCGTCCTCAGCTCACAGTCAGCCTGGCGGATTGGACGTGGCAGGCGTCCACTGTCCCCAGCCACAACAGAGACGCAGGCAGAGTGAGACAAAACGGCAGAGCAGGAGTCAGCGGCGGCGCGGCGAGAGGCCAGGCCAGGACGGAGTCTGAACTCCAGATGACCCCAGAACACCAGCGGGTCAGAACCGAGACAGGCATGACTGGAGGGCAGCGCACTGTCTGGACGGGACACTGGTCAGAAGAGTCCAAATGTTTTGGAACATGAACCCAAATCCAACTCAGGAGGATTTGTGGGTAAAAATATTTAAGAAAATTACAAAATGTTTTCTTCAGATTTCATAAGTTATTTTAAAATAATAAGCTTAGTAAATGAAATGTGTAAATGGTTGTAGATCCAAAACTTCTAGATGGTTTTGCAGGTTTTCCTGATTATTCTTTTATTTTTGGCTCAACTGAAGAAACTCAGAAGCATGTAATCTGCTCTGGGGAATAAAAACATGATTTATATCACTATTTATTTTAAAACACTTCCTGTATCCAGCAAAGCTTTAATAACTGAATTAAAAGCCGATTCAGTTGAACCAAAGTTTGCCTTAGTGTGGTGATGTTTCTAAAGGGAAAGCAGAGCTGCATTATTAAATTATTAATACTTTGTGTTGCATCTAAACATTTTTGTCGGATTTGGTCTAAATTGAAAAAAAGTCAATCTGATCCTGAGACAAATTTCTATCATCCAGGGGCCACAAATGGCCCCCAAGCCGCATGTTGGAAACCCCTGATGTACATGTTGTGTCTCTTCTATTTCATTTCCTTCAAAGTTAATTATTCATGTTTGATCTCGTTTGGTTTTTGTTTAATTCCTTGTGTTTTTGCCCAGTCCTGGTCTGAGGCTGGTTTGGTTTCCTCTGGTGCTGCTCAGCGCCTCCCACCGCTGACTGATCCTGATCCCGGCCCAGACTCACGAAGGGAAGGAATCCAGCTCAGAGATCTGCTGGTAATTTTTCTTTCTTCCTGCGTCTCTGCGCCGCTGATGGGAGCTGACAGAACTGGGACTGCAGCGCCGAGGCGAGCGGGCCCCGCACCTACAACTATAAACTCTGTTGTTCCATCTCATTATTTTCAGACTCCGCGCCGTTTGAGATTCGCTCAAAGAGCGACGAGCGGCCTGGCAGCTCCTCCAGACTGCCGGTGAAGAGAGAGAAGAAGAGACGGCCGTTCATCATCAGGCTGAGTTTAAGCTGCTATCGCTGCTTAAACGTCTCCGTTCAATGTTCAGAGAAACGAGGCTCATTTAGCTGCACTGCTAGCCTGTTACAGGTCTGAGCCTCATGTGGAGAAAAATCTGTAAATTAATCAGAACTACAACTCGTTTATGCAGATTAACTCTTTTTTATGTCACATTGCTGTCAGACGGGGTGAATCTGATCTTTAGTGGCTCACAGATATTTCCACACCAAAGAAAATAACTAATTTTAAAGCTTTAGAGAATAAAATCATGATTGTAACGCTGTAAAACCAAACATTGCAACTAAACCTTTAATTTATGACTTCTGTCAAACATTTTCTTTAGCAAATAAAAGTGGATCAGAGCAGATCCCTGAAACAAAATGGCTGCTGCACTGGGGATGTCTGCAGAGTTTAAATGGATATTAATATATATGATTCCTTCTGATTTACTGAATCACAAAAATCCTGCTGTTAATTTTTAACTCCTGCATAAAAGACATAAATCAGAAAAGCTGCAGCTCCTCTTCTGGTTTGTGAGCAGGAAGAGTTCAGAGGGTGAACGAGGGCACCAGCTCAGGCACAGGTCATATTTATTTATATTTAATCTGAGTTTAATATGCTGGAAACGCGCCTCAGGTCCCATAATCAGGCCGTAACAGGAGCCGGGTCCTCAGGAAGACAAATGAGATTTGATTGGCCATTAAAGCTGTGAGCCTCATCAGCTCAGCCTTTCGGACGGAGCCGCTGCGCTCCAGCGGGGGGCGCAGGCGGCCGGCCGGTCGGGCCTTTATCTGCCCCTCCGCTGATTAAACGTCCAGCAGGTCGGCTGAGTGGATCTGGGCTGCAGCGGAGCGGAGCTGGACTCGGCCCGGCTCATCCATCGCGGCGCCACCGGGGCACATATCAGATAATGTCGCTTTCGGTCTGAACTGTAATTTCCTGGAAGATGAGGCGCGATGTGACAGATGGCGCTCACGGTGAAAGAGGACATGATGCATCGGCGCCGAGGCATCGCTGGTTCGGAGCGCGGTCCATCCGGCGGCACGTTTACCGAAGATAACGCTGCAGATCGCAGAGCAGGGGGTCGCTGTAGTGTTGAACTGGCAGATTAAATGTCTTAAAATGGAAGCCAGCTCCTTAAATTAACATTCAGTTTAATGCACAGCAGGTTTATCAAACTCATTTTCATTTAGTGCTGAATCTAGATGATGAATTCACTCAGCTGCTGCTGCAGGACGTACTGATAAAACTTCCTGTTAAACTGTAAAAACAATGTAACTAACTCCACCATCTTTTTACATTGGTGTAATCTGGTTCTACATAAATAAAAGCTGAACTGATTCGACTAATAAAATGCACAATGTTTATCTCAAAGTTTCATTCATGTGTCCCTCTGATGCATCAATGGCCACATAAATAACTTTAGCGGGCTGGTTTTGGCCCGAGAGCCTCGAGTTGGACACCGTGGTGAAATGGATCCTTTCTGGTTTTTCAGGTTTTGCTTCTTCACTCTGATGTTTCTCTGCTCTTAGATTTTTTTGACACTTGCAGTAAAAGCTGAATAGTTGACAGTAAACTGTTGGCTAATGACAGGAAGCCGCTATGCTCAGCTGATACATGTAACATTAACCAAACTTTACCTCCTCATACGTCTGCAATAAGATGCATGACTTTCACATTTCGTTAAATGTATTTTGTGATAAACGAAGCCTGTCTGCAGTTTCATTTTCATTTTCTGGGCGTTTGTTTAAAACGTCCTACAAGCAGATAATCTGCCTGAATTATCCGAGGATTCGTTTCTACTGGTTAACCTTTTTGCTTTTGGGTCAAAGGTCATGATTCTTACCCGAATAGACTCAAGAAGTCCTTTAAATAGAACCTGACCGACAACAGGAAGCAGGCAGAAAAAGGCAGCACTTCATGTCTCAATCTAAAGAAACCCAAGAACAGACGAGAAAATTTACTGCCATCCATCAGGCTGGAAGGTGACGAAATCATTCCTGAGGTTTGGGGACTCAGAGGGCCACAGGGGGGGCCAACCTGCCAAAACATCACCACCACACAGCCAAAACCTCAGCTGAACAAAAACTGACATAAACCAAATGTTGGATATCAACAGTCAATCATGGCGGCCGTATGATGGTGGTCAGTGACGTTAAGCTCAGAGAACTTGGGTTTTACAGGAGGAAGATGATCCAAAGTTCACCAGCAGGTCCGTCTCTGAATCTCTCCAAATATAAAGAGGAAACAGTGCAGATGTTGGACTGGTCTAGTCAAAGTCTGGACAGGTTATTCATGCTTAAAAACCCTCTAATATGGCAGAGGGTCAAACTTCCTCCAGGGCTCTGAGAGACTCATAAGTTTCCATTTTCTACCAGTTATTAGTTATGGATTTCTACGTCAGGTTGGTTTAGAAAACTTTTATTTTAATAAATGGACTGATGTGCATTTTGCATTTTTCTCCATTTATCAAAATATGTGAACAGAAGCAAACTGTAGGAGGGAGAAACTGACAGAGCTGAGGATATTTATGGTGCATGAGCCAAAACAATCCTCTGAAGTTAAAAAAGAAAAGCAACAAATTTATCTCACTTTAAAAAAATATGTTGATTCTTATTGAAATATATAAACCAACTTGAAGGTTTCTGGAATTGTCCCTCCTGTCTAGTCACAGCCTCAGTCATCTTTAACCTCCTCTGCACTCTGACTGTACTTCAGCTGAAACGCCACCAAAATAAACATTAAAAAAAGTTTACAATCTTTTAATACACAGTCATGCTTCCTCAAACAGGAAATTGAAGCCTCACAGTTCCTCATTCCTGCCAGTCCGACACGCAGCGCTGACACTGAAGCCCCATCACGCAGCCTGAAGGCTTATCAGCTTTAAAACACCGAGCTGCTGCAGCATCAGCTGCTGCAGCCGCTGCTGCTGCAGCCGCTGCTGCTGCAGCCGACTGCTGCTGCCGACTGCTGCTGCCGACTGCTGCTGCTGCAGCCGACTGCTGCAGCCGACTGCTGCTGCTGCTGCAGCCGACTGCTGCAGCCGACTGCTGCTGCTGCTGCTGCAGCCGACTGCTGCTGCTGCTGCTGCTGCTGCAGCCGACTGCTGCTGCTGCAGCCGACTGCTGCTGCTGCAGCCGACTGCTGCTGCTGCTGCTGCTGCTGCAGCCGACTGCTTCTGCTGCTCATCACGAGCTAAACTCAGCCAAAATGTTGATTTCTGCTGTGCTGCAGCTCTGCCCAGAATAAAGTGTGCTCAGTTTCCAAGAAATTCACAAAGGAAGGAAGGAGATGAAGCAAGAATAGTGGAGGTCAAGTTCAGATCTTATCACTTCCCCGACAAAATATAAACTCAGAGCTAACAGGAGGGAAGCAGCTTTTAAAGTGAACAGAGGTGCAGAAAACCAGAGCTGGTTTTCAGCTCTCTGACTTCACTCAGCAGTTATTCATATTGATTATTGATCAACTTGGATCGACAAACGTATCCAGACTTGTTGCAACAGTTTTCAAAACTTGGCCAACATCTTTATTACTGAAATTTCTCCACATTTCTGTTATTTTCTCACCTGAACTTGGTCAGTTTTAGAAAAGCAACACGGTCACTGGAACACAAAATACTTTGCACTCGCATGACAATAACTGAAATAATTTATGTTGTACCCAACATTTTATTTTCAGATTTTATTTGTCTGATTAAAGTGTCCATCTGCTCCAGCCACCTGCCCAGAGCCAGAAAGTGAAATATTTCTAATAAAAACAATAACGCTGCTTCACTTTTTAAAGCTTTTCATTTGCCAGAAACTCAATATTTACATTTCAATTTGCATTTAGACTTAGACTACAATCTCTGTAACCACTTTGGGAAAGACCAGATGATGTCTGGGTCAGTTTAACAGCTTTGAGTTAAAAAACTTGGATGAACTTCAAAGGACAGACACACGGCCTCTGAGTGACATCATCAGGAAGTCATCGGTCAACATCTGGACATGGAAGCTAACGAGGCGCCAGCATCGTAAAACGTTTTGTTCCAACATGGACTGAAAAGTCACGCAGAGAGGAAGAAGCCATGACTCCAAAAGCAAGAGACCATCAATTTGAAGGGCAAAGGAGGAAGTCTGCAGTAAAGCACAGCGGCGGCAGCATCATGCAGTTGGTCACGTTTTACGGCGGGAGGGAACGGTGCACTGTACAAAACTAATGGGACTGTGAAGGAAGAACACTAAAAATACTGAGCAACATCTCAAGACAGGAAGTTAAAGATGTTTAAAGGCTGTTCTGTCAAAACAATGCGAGTCAATTTCACATTTTAAAGAAAGAATAAAGGATATATTCTCCATTTCTGGCTAATTGGATTAAAATTAGTCAGATTTATTGTTATACAACAGACCAACGATACTGTATAACTGCAGACTCTTTCATAAAACTCATCTAAAATATTTAAAGTAAAACATCAAAGGAAGCTGAAATGCTGCTTCACACTATGGGCTGGCGTTTCAAAAGCAGCCAATCAAAGAGCTGCATTCATTTTGCTTGGCTCCGATTGGCTGAACCCCAAAGACTGTAGATGTTAGCTTCTGCAGCACTAAGTCAGTTTCCTCTGAACATATGAACGAGTATCAAGGCATATTTGGTGTTTGAATGATTAAAATAGGTAGTTATCAGCGTTTTTAGACTTTCTCAAGTATTTATGGATTTTTATGGAAGTCGCCACTTCCTGTCCGCCTGCAGGTGGACGTGACGCGTCGCCACTTCCTGTCCGCCTGCAGGTGGACGTGATGCGTCGCCACTTCCTGTCCGCCTGCAGGTGGACGTGATGCGTCGCCACTTCCTGTCCGCCTGCAGGAACCTGATTTCAGAGCAAACATCGTCTCCGGTGTGTTTGCTTTGGAACTGGAGGTTTTTCTGAACCTGAAGCTTCATCTCATTGTTGAGCTCAGCAGGTGCAAAACTCACCCCGAGTTCAGACGCACATGAAACATGATCTGGAGTCAGATATCACTGTTTACATAATGCTGTCATCTAGAAACACGCAGGGATTCCAACCCTGAATCAAGTTTTTATGAATAATAAAAAGTAAACATCTCTATTAATTCTGTTGAGTTTTTGTTTAAACTGCTTGAAATGTTTGAGTTGGTTTATTGGATTTAAAGTTTAAACTGGACCAGAAGGAACGAACGGATGACTTCTGACATGACAAAAGTCATTTAATTAGCTAACCAAAGGTCAAGGGTCACAAACATTAATCATATGATGCTGAAAGTAATTTTAAGGAGTGCTGGAAGAATACAACTAATGACTAAAAATGACATAAAGGGAAATA